AGACTCCCAAGCCACTTGATATATTATGACTACAATTTCTCTGAAAGCCACAGCTCTCTTTCTCAAGCTTCCTCATGTTGTGCAAAATTATTTTTCTCCTTAGCCCTGAAAAATACATGGTTCAACTACAGCCTATAGCTATGCTTCAGAACCCTTTCTTTAAACAAAATCTTTAAGTAAAAGCCTAAAATATAAAAACTAAAATGGTGCTACACTTGTTAAAATGGTAGCGGAAGGGGTGGTCTGGAGCCACCTAACACCATTATGCTCCTCTCACAGGTGCCCTGGAATTCCTAGGAGCAGTTTGAAACCATCTCAGCCATGTGCTCCATCTACATTGGACCATTTGACATTTCCATGAACAACATATTTGTTTACACTTCTGCATCTTGACACCTATATCTTGCCTCCCCCTTTGAACTGTATTATTCAAGAATCACCTTCCTACCAAACACAATGTCAAGGAGTCTTTTTCAGATTCAAAAATATTTACTGAGCTATTACAATAGCCAGGCTCTGTGTATCTCTGTACCATATGCTACTGAAATCATTTACCTGTTATATGTGTCCCTTCTAGAATGAGCTCCATGAGGCACAGACTCATTCATCTGAGTCTCCAATGTCTAACCAAGTGCTCAGCATACAAGGTGCCCAAGAAGTTGCCAAATAAATGAATTTTTAGTCTACCTAGATCATATGCACCTTTCTGACTGACTTCATCTGTCTCTCCTGGCCTGAGAGAACAACTGATCATCTTTTTCCTATTTGGGTAAAACATGAACAAAGTCTGAATGACAGTATCTCATGGTGCCAGATCATAGAAATGTTAGTAGATACAATTTTGTCAGTGTTAATTTATCCTTATGGCTTTCTGAGTGGTGGCCTGTTAATTTTTACCCTGCCCCCCCATGATTACCTCGTTTTCATCTAATTTACTGTTATTCATCTAACACTCCAGGTTGCTAAAAGAACAAGTAGCTGCAAAGAACACAAAGAAAAACAACATAGGAAGTTACTGCACACAGGTTACCAACCAAGTTGATTTTATAAAAGGCCTAGGTAAATACAAACTGGTAGACAAAATACTGAAATGCACATTCATACCATAATCAAGTACACATATTTTTTAACTGGGACAGGAATAGCTATGGGTAACCAAAGAAGTCTCAAGTTGTCTAAAGAAAGAATAAAACTGCCTTGAACCGTAACCCTTAGAAACACTAACCTTATTCGTATTGCCTCGTGAGTGGTGTCCTCCGAACAAGTACAGCATCCTGTCTACACACACGGCACAGCTTCCTGACATGGAAGGAGGAACATCACCTTCAGTGTTCATTTTTTTCCTGAGAGGAAAGCAATGTAAATAAGCCTCCCACAAGGGAAATGCAAAAATATTTTTATTTTTCTTCTATTTCCACAATAAACGGGGAAAAAATAAAATGAACAGGTTAACTAGATAATGTCTAGGGTCTCATCTAGCTCTAAAATTAATTCAAAGAATGAGCTCTTTCCTCTTCATTCCACAGGCTTTGCCAGCTAGTCCTGCACAGAGGCCAAATGAGAGCTTCTAAAAGCTACAGTGTCGCCATAACTGGTTTGGCTCAGTGGATGGAGCGTTGGCCTGCGGACTGAAAGGTCCCAGGTTCGATTCCAGTCAGGGGCGTGTGCCTTGGTTGCGGGCACATCCCCAGTAGTGGTTGTGCAGGAGGCGGCTGATGGATGTTTCTCTCTCATCCATGTTTCTGACTCTCTATCCCCTTCTCTTCCTCTCTGTAAAAAATCAATAAAATGTATTTAAAAAAAAAAAAAAAAAAGCTACAGTGTCACATTACTCCAGGAGCACACCATTTTATGTTTTTTAAACTAAATTGTTTGCTTTTTATTTACATGGCCATAAAGTGGTTGTTTTGTTTTTTGTTCTTGACTGGGCCAGGAAAACAACGTCCCAGTCCTGACAGATTAATTCAGTAGGTGTTTTTATTTGGTCACCTTTAGCCATTCAAATGAATCTGATTCAGATCGTATGTAATACTACAGACACTTATGTAGTACTTACTATAGGTCAGGCACTGCTCTCAGTGCTTTGCATATATTGACACATTCTGAATCTAAAAATAAAGCTGAATCAAGACTAATTAAGAAATAGAGGATTCAGAATATTAATAGGTCACTCAAGGTCTTCTCACAATATCACTTTATAATAAGGTTTTAAGTTTTAATAGGCTTATTTTTTTAAAATTATGGGGCTGACTTATTATTTTTATTTATTCATTTATTTTTTATTCCTCACACAAGAATATTTTTCCATTGCTTTTTTAGAGAGCGGGAAAGACAGACAGAAATACATCCATTGGTTGCCTCCTACATGAGCCCACCAGGGCCCAGGCCGGGGAGGAGCCTGCAACCGAGGTACATGCCCTTGACCGGAATAGAACCTGGGACCCTTGAGTCCCCAGGCTGAGGCTCTATCCCTGAGCCAGACCAGCTAGGGCTATGGGGCTGATTTTTAAAAATATGTAGAATTCCATATTACAGGGATACTATTACACATTTCCAATTATCTAGAAAAAGATTGGCAAACAGCTCAAAAACACCGATTAACTATGTACAGAAGAATCCTAACATGCTTAGTTTAACTGTTAAATCAAGTGGGAGTACTATTCCAGTTCTGAGATCTATAATATGTAATATATGTAAAGCACAAAGTTCTCACAGTGCAAACCACGGAGGAAGACTACTTCATAAATCCTCAAACACGACTAACCCAGCCTTTTGAGAATCGCGTTAATCCTGCCACGGACATACTCTTGAGTCCCACTGCTATGAGACTAGCAAAAGACCCTTTCAGCATATCCCCACGGAAGGCAAATTTACGTTAGTTTTGTTTTTTAAACAAAACATACTATTTTATGGAAATTTTAATGTTAGAACTCATTAAAATACCACCTTTATTTCTAGTACATACAATCTATAATTTTTTGCATTCAAGATGCCACATAACAAAAGACATAACATCTTGAAAAATACATATGTGGAACTTTTATTGTATTTCCATTCCAGGATCTGAAGCCTCTACCTCTATTTTAATACTATGATACTTTATAGAGCCCTGAATAGAAATTTCTCCAAGGATCATAAAAATATCTAGTAATTACTGATATTTCTGAAGAGACGCTAAAGAGTAAGCTTAGCAGTAAGGCCAAACTAGCACAACACTGTTTTCAGAACATATAGCTTAGCATCTTTAACTAAAATGTTTTTATTGATTAGAATGGGCTTTACAGAGTTTCTTTTTGTTTGCAACAGTATTTGAATGTTTTAGTCCCTCTTATAAATCTAATTACCATCTTCCAGTCTCCATGTTGTAGATCCATAGTTCTTCTCTAGGCAGATAAAAGTCATATAATCCTCTGACTTGGTTACTCTAAGAACCAAAAAGAGAAAATTGAAAATATAAAAATAATTGGTATTCTAGAGGCACTATTGTATGTTTTTTCATATCTAATTTGAGATACTGAGAATTATGGAAAATTAAATAGGTCCAACAAATCCATCAAATGCACAGTCCTCCCCACCCCATGCCACATACTCAAAAGTAATGCTTACTATAGACAGCTCTTATTTCCAATTTTTGAGAGAGCAGTTATAACGGTGTAGGTGCCGTGGTGCAGGAAGGTAAGAGGTCAGGAAATCTCCAAGGCCACTTGATCCTGAACAGACCGTGCACCAAATGTCAGTTGCATGGCTTCAGGAGAGAGTATCCCCGTGCGGTGGTCAGCAGACTGAAGAAAGGTCTACCTTTAACTCTTCACCCACACTGGCACATGATGTATATAGTTTTCTAGCCATTGTTTCCTTTGACCCATGCATTCTCTACCAAAATGCAGAGAGGGCAGCACTGCAAATATGCAAATATTAAGTCCTTATGCAATCTTTTAAGTTCCTTGTTCTGCTCCATTTCCTTCAGGTAATAATTTTTAACAGACTGTGTACCATATGCTCTTAGAACTAGCTGAGTGCTACCCATGGATTGCTTTATTTAACCCTCACAACCACCATTAAACGTAGTTGGTATTTCAAGAAAACAGGTTTTTTAGAGAGGTGATTTGCCGAAGGTACTTGGCAAGTAATGGTAGAACCAGGATTTCAGCCTTCTTTCCCTGAAGTTGCAACTTCAACTGCTATCTGACCTCTCCAGCCTTTGAGCCTCGCTGGCCACTTTCTGAACAATGTCAACATACAGTCAACAATTGCAGTTCACTGAGAATGGGTGTCAGAGTCCAATAAGCTTGAGTATTATACAGGAATAGAGCACCCGGCCGCCATGTGAACTTGTTGCTTTTCACTCCACCCCTTGCAAAGGGAAAGGCTAGAAGACAGGAGGCTGACCCTGAGGAGATGAGCCTGGCCTGGAGAGGGCAACTGACTACTGTGTGAGAAGCTAGGGTTTACTGCCTTCAAACAACCTGCAAGAGCTTCCTGAGCCTACTCTCAGGTTCTGGCCAGTATATGGATAGCCTGTTTCTAACACCCACCTAGTTCACCGATATGCCTCAACCTTGCCTCAGCCCTCAGCAGCCAGGACCTCAAAAACAGCACCAGAAATATTCTACCCTGACTACCCCACCCCTCCCCATGCCCAAAGAAAGCCCCATTCCCTCAATGCTGAACTTTACAGACAGAATTTTGAATAAAGTAGTTTAGACTGAAATATGATTGACCAACAGGTTTACTTTTCTCCTTGGAAGTTACTTACATTTCAATAAGGGTCACCACATACCTACCCCTCTTCCTCTTAACAAGTGCCCTCTAAGCACCTACTCATAGAGGCTGAGGAAAACACAAATTAGACTGGCAAAAAAAAATGCTTTTGTTGTTAAACTACATGAAATAATCAGGGCTGCCACCGCACTTCATCCCATCTACCCTTTGAGTCATCTCACAAGCTGTCAACTGTGATCAGATCAACTACCATGAACTGAAATTTACTGCCAGAGTCACAAAACAAGTCATCAAAGGAACAGGTGTAGTGGCCTAGATTTCAAACCAATGGGGGAGGGAGGAGATAATTTTCCCCCCAGTATGTTTTCATTGATTTTTAGGGAGAGGAAGGGAGAGAGAAATATCCTTGTGAGAGAGACATGCATTGGTTGTCTCCCATACACACCCATCCAGGTACCGAACCTGAAGCCTGGGCATGTGCCATGACCTGGAATGGAACCAGCGACCTTTCAGTGCAGGAGAGGATGCCCAACCGAGCCACACGCGCCAGGGCTAAGACGAAACGGGACTAAAGAGAATGGCTTTGGTAGGAATGCATTACAACTGAACAGATGACACAATTCTAGAATGTGGAGTGTTATTGGGAAGTTCTTAAGAGCAAGAGAGAACTAGTGGGCAAGGTTTAACGTGGGGAGGAGTCCCCTGGCAGACGGAGAGAAGAAATGCAACTGGCAACTAAGTACATCTTTATCATTAGGGTCAAGGAGCCGCTGATACTGTTGGTTACAGGTGGAGCGTTTCCATTAATTTTCTTAACAGAGGTTTCTCCCGACAAATTCCAGCCTGTCTCAGCGGGAACAGCCCTACAATGTTCCCACAGCAGAGAGACGGCCACCCGCACAGGCGGCAGGACCGGGGCGGGCGGGGCGTG